AGAAAGCACCCCTGCTAATGCTTAGCTTCTATATTTCATGGATACCGGGTACCGTTTCAGCGTATTCCTGTTTTTATGAGACACCGTTGTTCATGGCGTTGAAAGGGGAGAGTATTGAACAGTGCTCGGGTTACTTTTGTTATGGTTGTCGGGGTGAGAGTTGATGACTGCTGTACATTCACAGGCGTGACTCGCTTTCAGATTGGGTTGTATGGTTTGTAGTGTTGAAAACACGGTCGATTATTTAGGCTGTGGGTCTTTTAGATGGCAGATTACACGCTTACTATACACATGAATATGATCATATCTTAACATTTCTATAATTGCTGTTTGAAATGGTTACTTTACAACTTCGTATAATCGGAATAATAGTTGTATGCTTAACCTTGACGTGGGTGTATTTTCCAATACGTCACAGCCCATGGTACCTTCGTGTAGCCTTTGGTAAGTGTCAGTATTAGGGACCATTTATTATTCTTGAGTGGTTAGGCCTGAGATTTCGGTTATGGACAGAATAGTTCTGCGGTCACTACACTATTTTGATAGAAACAAGCAGCAACATTTCAGTTAAAAAGGAGCCCCAGTGAGATGGGAAATTAAGAACCGGAACCTCTAGACTTGCTTAAAAAGGGACAGTTATAGCATTACAGTTTGGGCTGAACATTTAGTGTCTGAAATCTTATATTACACAATATCCTTCTTGACTCTAAAAATAATAAAAAATTCCCTATGCTGTGGAATAGAGCTAGCTTGAGCTGGCTAGACTTGCTTTTGTATGCATTTCTAGATTATTTTTTTTCATAAAATAAATATATTCCACGGTCATGGTGCAGGACTAGGTAACGTACCATGGTTGAGGGACTGTGCGATCGACAGACTACAATTCCCTCCTTGAAAGCAGGGGGAGAGCTGGTGTTTTTCCCAACAACATTAACTTTGTCATCCGTCAACTTCTAAGTAATGCCTATCAAACAATTTAATTTTAAGGAATTTCTGCTTGTCAAGGGAGCAATATTTGTTTTGTAAAACTTGATGTACATTATTCATAATTATTCATAATAACGCGGGACATATTTTAATCCCTGATTGTATCATGTGAGGATATCCGTATAGATTCCGGGGTAAAATAGAACCCTAGAACCTTTTACTCGTAGAACCAATGGCATTGGGGACCGGGTGGTTATAATGGATGACAAATAAGTTCCTTTGGTCCCCATTACGTTCTTTTTAGAACATGCAGATTGAACGATCTTTTTGTGAGTATAAATTTTCAAAGATGGTTGGGAACTGATTACTAGTATTAAAAAAAACAATCCCAATATCAATTGATGGACCCGTTTGGCAACTTGTTCACGGTGCAATGGAAACCGACATTGGAATCGGGTGAACCCGAATGCTTATCTACACTATATGTATGTAACCTTAGTTCATGGATGATCAACTTCACTCACAAATTTCCTCAATCATGGTTAGACTTGTTCATGAAGTTTGGAACAAAGACATTCAACAGAATAGCCGTACTTCTTTAATGGACTATGTCATGAGGTGGAAAGTTGTTCATCGAGATTATTGAAGAGTTTCAATAATATGTATTTTACCGATCACTTACATATACATTAACAAACATGAAATTTGCCTTGTCTAAATGGGTCCTTATTGGGTGCTACCGGTAAAGCACACATGCGTGCCCTTTTACGAACATCCGGTGTCATTAAGGAATTTCAGTTATCCATTTATATAATTTCCTAGGCTATTTGCCCTTTACGGCAAGTGGAATCTGTTTCGGCAGAAAATCTGGGATGGTTTGTTTGTTTGTTGTTTTTAACGCCGCACTCAGCAACATTCCAGCTATAAGACGGCGGTCTGTAAATAATCGAGTCTGGACCAGACTTTCCAGTGATCATAAGCATCGATGGTTATTCTCTTGCATTGACAATTTATACCAATAATTACCATCACTTTGTGCCTTCTACGCCAAATGGAATCTGTTTCGGCATATTCGTTTACATTTTGAATTTAGTGGGCTAAAAAGTTAAGGGTTCTTATGTTTTATTGCCCTCTGCTAGAGACAATTATCCCAAGACTTTAAACATTACTACATATTCACAAGGTGAGTGAGATTGGTTTCAGGCCAGTTTGAACAGTATTCCAGTTGTATCACGGCGTGTCAGCTTCATGTGGGAGAAAACCATGATGTGATTCAGATCTCAGACGTTTACCACTATGTGAAACCAACGAGCACGGATATGGTGCTGACTAACCTAGAAACAATCGGGGCGAATCGGGATTCGAACTCACGACCAGACGTTTCTGTCGTGCCCATGGGACGTAACTATGCACAAGGAGTGCGGCGCCTTAACGACCCGGCCACCCGTATCCCCGGTTCACTAGGAGTTCAGTAACTGGTCATATGTATTACAGGGTAAAACAATTTGAATCACTAACTTAATATAGATGTCCCTTGACTGTGACAAATATATTATTTATCATATTGCCTGAAAGTTGAACTTAAACTTTTGTATTAACTGACATGAGTGAGAGTCATTTTCCCCAAGAGAGTTAACTGACTGTTAAAGACCAGTTTCCACCCTTGTCGAACTAGGCTGGAATTTCTGGGCTCGATCGTAGCGCCACCAGTGGCTATTACGAGTTATGTCAATTTTATGTCCCTCCTATTAACCAATCAGATTCCACCTCTCATATCACTTACATTTGCTTGAAACAAAATGGCGAAGCCCTTATCAAAATGTATATTGTAATAAAGCGAGTCTTACTTTGCAAATTGCACCAACTCACGTGAGCACATTGATTAAAAACATGAAATGATTTGGAAACTATCTTTTCACGTCGAGTTTGCAGTACACGTGCTCTGAAAATCCTGCAAACGACCGAAATATGTATGGCAGTTTACGAACCGGATGTCGATTTCGTTAGGCGATTTTGATTGGACTATGCATAGACTCGTTAGTCAAGCCAAAATATAATTCCATAATGCCAGCCTAGTTCGGCAAGGGTGGAAATTGGACTTTTATAGTCAGTTAACTCCCTTGCCTAGGGAAGATGAGTGAAACTGTGGTTTTTGCAAAACTTGACATCACACACTGTGCCAAATGGGAACCGTGATCCAACGTCTTAACCAGGAGGCTTTGGTGACATTTTGGTACGCCGTAACTCCCTTTACATGGGTTGTTAGGATACATGTGTCTTACAGGACCCCCACCATCAGATGTCTGTACCCGTGGTCCACATGTCTTACAGGACACCCTCCATCAGATGTCTGTACCCGTGATCCACATGTCCTACAAGACCCCCACCATCTGATGTCTGTACCCGTGGTCGACATGTCCTACAAGACCCCCACCATCTGATGTCTGTACCCGTGGTCCACATGTCCTACAAGACCCCCACCATCTGATGTCTGTACCCCTGGTCCACATGTCTGACAGGACCCCCACCATCAGATGTCTGTACCCGTGGTCCACACGTCCTACAAGACATCAACCATCAGATGTCTGTACCCGTGATCAAAATGTCCTACATGACCCCCACCATCAGATGTCTGTACCCGTGGTCCACATGTCCTACAGGACCCCACCATCAGATGTCTGTACCCGTGGTCCACATGTACTACAGGACCCCCACCATCAGATGTCTGTACCCGTGGTCCACATGTCCTACATGACCCACACCATCAGATGTCTGTACCCGTGGTCCACATGTCCTACAGGACATCCACCATCAGATGTCTGTACCCGTGGTCCACATGTCCTACAGGACCCCCACCTTCAGATGTATGTACCCGTGGTCCACATGTCCTACAAGACCCCCACCATCAGATGTCTGTACCCGTGAGGATTCCCAGTAAGTATAGGTCCAGTATTCCATGTTAGTGCCGACCAGATGATCGGATGGTCAGGTTCTTTGACAGATTCTTGTCCAAGTTCCCCGACTGCCTGTATCGTTGCTCATGTTTCAGCCACTGTTGTCTCTGGACAACATTTATTTATTTACTGGTCGTCGGGATGTAGCTCCGGCACTGCGGACTGCGTTGTTTAACGACATTCACTCACTGAGATGCCTCTGATTGGGGATAACTCAAATAGTTTACCCACGAACCCACTCATTGTCTTTTGACTAAGTATATGTCATGTTTGCTAGGAAGACTTCGTGTTCATTGCGCAACTCGAACTGTCATACGTGTATGGGGAGTTACGTAACGACGTCTATCTTCAATATCAAGCGTCGAAGCCGAGACGTGTGGTCATATTGTCAAATGATATTATAATTTACAAAAACAAAACATATATTAATTTCATTTATACGTCAAAATCAAATGGGAAGCTCACGTTCTTTTAACAACGACGTCATTTCATTGAAACCTCGTTTTGTGACGTAATAGCACGGTATCTAACGTTGCTGCACATTAAAAATTGATTTGTTAAAAATAGGCAAACATGCATATATAATTTATGATGTTTTCTTATAGAGTACCCTTTGTGGTTAAATCGTGTATAATGTCAAATACTTTAATTATACTACTACACAAACCTGTAAGCGATGAATTCCTTATTTGCTCTACATATTAATATGTGACTGCAAAAAAAAACCTTTCTGCAATCGGGCGGTCGGGTAGCCTAGTGGTTAAAGTGTTCGGGTTCGATTCCCGACATGGGTACAATGTGTGAAGCCCATTTATGGTGTCCCCCGCCGTGATATTGCAGGAATATTGCTAAAAGCGGTGTAAAACCTCACTCACTCACTTTCTTCAATCACAAACTTATGTTGTGGCATGTTCATAAAGAAGAACCCATCTGAGAAAATAATATATTCTAAATGAAGGCTGATGGACATCCTTTAAAACACATGTGATTAAGAATGACAGCCCCAAACCCTGTCCCCCCAACCCCATGTAGTCTCAAACATGCTCGCTTTCCCTGTACGTGACTGTGCTAAGTATTCAAGTGACATTCCCTGACCCGTTAACGCGTCTGGAAGCTTACCTGTCACGCCAAGCTTGTCTTATCAAGTCTTCCCATTCGTTCTCCAGTCATGGGGTGTCAACACTTTCCAATATTCCAAAGGGAAATACTGTCATTCATTCGAGAGCGCAAAATATGTCAATATACTCACACCGCCTCGAGAGAGACCCCTCCCGCTCCAGCTCCCCACGATCCCGGGGGTACTGATCCCTTCCCTCTTACTGGGATTCTGAAGTGTGGGGTATTGTGGAGAGCTGTAAATCACACCCTTCGCGTCCTTGGTGAGACCCACATACATCGCCTTGTCGTGTAGCTATCTCCAGTGTTTACCCCCACGCTCGTATATGGTTGCCACCTACCCGTTGCGTAACCCCCCCCCCCCCCCCCCCACTCTCTTCCCCACAAGCACTTCTCACCTGTAATCAAGTTGACATACGTATCACTTGTCACACTCTGTCAAACTGAAGGCGGCAGTACATTAATTGTGTCGTTTTGTGTTTAAGGTCGTGTTTTCTGATATATTTGGGGGCGGTCGGGAACCCTAGTGGTTAAAGCGTTCGCTCGTCACGCTGAAGACCCGGGTTCGATTCCTTACATGGGTACTATGTGTGAACCCTATTTCTGGTGTCCCCGCCGTGATATTGCTGGAATATTGCTAAAAGCGGCGTAAAACCATACTCACTCACTCACTCTGATATATTTGCTTGCTTGTTTGATTTATAGTCCAGATATCTTGGCTTAATGTAAATAATCAAATCTGGACCGCACAATCTAAAGATCAATATTATACGATGGAGATACAGGATGTGTGGTATAGGTGTGGGTGGTGACTGGGTGTAGTCTAGGTATGGGAGAGTGGGTATATGTGTGGTATCGGTATGGGAGAGTGGGTATATGTGTGGTATAGGTATGGGAGAGTGGGTATATGTGTGGTATAGGTATGGGAGAGTGGGTATAGGTGTGGTATAGGTATGGGAGAGTGGGTATAGGTGTGGTATAGGTATGGGAGAGTGGGTATAGGTGTGGTATAGGTATGGGAGAGTGGGTATATGTGTGGTATAGGTATGGGAGAGTGGGTATAGGTGTGGTATAGGTATGGGAGAGTGGGTATATGTGTGGTATAGGTATGGGAGAGTGGGTATATGTGTGGTATAGGTATGGGAGAGTGGGTATATGTGTGGTATAGGTATGGGAGAGTGGGTATATGTGTGGTATAGGTATGGGAGAGTGGGTATATGTGTGGTATAGGGTAGGTGTGATCGCCCCAGTTTGATGTGGGTCCCTCTCAATCATATTTATGATATCTGAGATATGAATCTTGTGAAGTCCTCCATTACGTACCCACCTTCGGCCCATATAACCACAATCTGTCATGTCTGTCTATTGTAAGTATATTTACACCACGTTAAGTAAATAAAAGCTTGCAAATCTACGCAATATATCGACCCTTTACTTCAAAGCAATTTGAAGGGTACCATCAATCATATTTGAAACCCACACGTGGTGGTATCAGTTGTAATACAACAAATAGAAACATTTACATTTCTCAGTTCTAGTGGGTATTGATTTGTCTTGTTACGCTGTTCTATTATTTGTGCAATGTGAAACCCACTCGCGACACCCTCTGCTGTTATGTAACCTGGTGTATTAAGAGAAACAGTAAACTAAACTGACGTTGGCTCGGTCGAGGAATCAGCAAAGCTGAGGTCATCTTTAACAGATGAGTAACAAATAGTAGGACGTGGCGGAGTAGGGTTTAATGTCGGTTTTATATTGCTAGCCTACTGAGATACCATCCCGCTCTTAACATGAATACCCCACTCATACTTTTGGTGTGACGCGACCGGGAATCGAACCCCCGATCTCCCGATCTCCCGCTCCCCGGGCAGACGCTCTATCCCTTTGTCCAGGGAAAACACACAAAAGCATATCATTATATATTTCATTACTTATATACTTAATATATTGTTTCATATTTGCCGGTGTATTTGAGAATTTGACTGCCCGAACATTTCATTTGAAAACCTCGTTGTGAAACAATCTTCGCCCTGAATTCTATACCAGGTCTAACCATTCCTTGGTTTCTCTACATGGTAACCGACTACGACCCGGGTTACTTCGGGCTTCCTTCCCACATTAGGCTGCTACGATGTGATCAAACTAAGGAACTCTGCGAGTCAGCGTGATACCGAACACACTCAGTCGGCGTGGCTTGCCGACCTGCATGATTTCAATTCAGAAACATGTCAGGCGTGTCTTGAGATATTTTACGAATGCTTGATCTCAACTTGAGTTTAATTACCCCAAAAATATTTGATGCCTCAAATCTGCAACTCACAGATGAATAATCCAGTATTTGAGATAAAGATGGTAAATCAAAACTTTCTGTCCAAGAATATACTACTCAAAAGAAGTTAAAGAACACCCGATTGTTTCATATGTTTTGCTAGACTTACTATTGTCATTAGAAAAAAATGTGTTTTCTAGAACTTCTTTGGGCGGTATATATATTCTTTAAGACACTTCCATTACACCACCACACCAAGGCGTCGGTTCCTTGTGGCTGAAACAATGGCGATGTTATATTTACCACACTCATCAGAGAATACCGCTTCCTTAACTGCTCTATTTATCCGTCTATTTTTTGAAGATCTAACCCACATTTGACCCACATTTGAGACTCCAGTGATTGACACGAGTATGGGTCCACACAATTGGGATACGATGACATGCATGAACCAAGCACATGAAGCACCTTATGTAGATTATCCTGATGGGATGCCAGTGAATCAATAACGCGTCATGATCACTGAGTCAATTCGGATATTTACTGGCCGTGTATCGTTGCTGATTCTATCATTCACTGGGTTGTCAGTTTCTGGCTCAGAAACACAGATTGTATGGTCATGGTGCAGACAGTGGGGTGAAACCAAACTCACTCACTCACTTCAGTGTGGAATCTTGGATGACTAGATTGAATGAGTTGGGTTTTAACGCCCCTTCCAACAGTATTCTAGTATTTCACGGCGTGTCAGCTTAATGTGAGAGGAAAGCCCGAAGTGATGCAGGTCCCAGATGTTACCACCTTGGTGAAACCCACGAGCACGGGTATGGTGCTGATAAACCTAAAAACATAATCGAGGCGAACCGGGATTCGAATCCACAATCACAGGTTTCTGGCATTCCCAACGAACGCAACTCTGCACAGCTAATTGTGGCGCCTGAGACGGCTAATTATATAACTGGAATACTGTTAAAACCGTCGATATACCCAACTAACTTACCCACTTTAAGTAATGAGGAAATAACAGACAGTACACAAGGTTAAGTTTGCTTTTAATTGGGCAGATTGGTAACATTGCAAACCGCGAGCATTACTCGCCATCGCCCAGTAATGGCTCTACTTCCTTCTGTTGCAAACACATTGATAGGACTTCTTTGTCATCCAGCAGTCAGAGGCATCCTTCAGAACACACCTTCCTCCGGATTTGCCAAGCTCTTTACAACGGTCGTTGCAGGACTTCCAAAGTCTCCCAGTTCCCCAGGAGCTCCAGCCGGTGCATCTGCTCCAGGTCTCCCAGCAACCACCTTCCACTTGGGGAAGAACCATCAGAGCTGCCAGCACGACGATAGCCAGGAACATTGTTGCTGAAACAGTTTTGCAAACGTGAGACTTGTTGTTTTATCAGTATGACAATTGATATAATCATGACAGCATAATTTTACTTGAATTTAAATATTGGAATAATGTCCCGTCTGGTCAGAGCTGTGAGTCATGATCAATTTATCAAAGTCCTTGTTGGATATCTTTTTACTCGACCTCTACGTATGTAAATATCAAACGTTTTACGTTTGACAATGCCGGGGGGGGGGGGGGGCAGATTGGATGATACGAGACGACTGCGGTATTGTGCCATTTAAGAAAACATTCAAACAAATTGTTCCTTTGATTTAAATATACAGATAGAGAGGGGCATCATATATAGCAGAGCAGGGGTTTTCCCCATTCCATTCTTAGGTCATACTCCTTTGAAAAAATATTCATCTGTGATAATAAAAGACGATTTCAAAGAGCATCATACGAATCCTGATGAGTCAGTGAATTGGGTTTAACGCCGCTTTTAACAGTATTCCAGTTATATCGCGGCGTGTCAGCTTAAGTGGGAGGAAAGCCCGAAGTGATGCAGGTCACAGACGTTAACAACTTCGGTGAAACCAACGAGCACGGGTATGGTGCTGACAAACCTAGAAACATAATCGAGGCGAACCGGGATTCGAACCCACAATCATAGGTTTCTGGCCTGCCCAAGGGACGCAACTCTGCACAGCGAATCGCGGCGCCTTAGACGACTGGGCCACCCGTGTCCGCGAATCTTGATGAAATGGGTTACACAATATAAAGTAAAGCTTTTACACCACTTCATGTCAGACACGTGGAGGACATTTCCAAATAACGCATAACTGACCAAAATTATGTGCGATGCAATTCCCTATTTTGACTAGCGGCATATGTACCCGTGTTTGTTCAGTTACCTCTGCATGTGTTTATGGCGGGTGCCGGCATTGGGCCAGAATGCCTCCCCATTTCGCGAACCTTCAAATCCGCACTTCAATTCTCAACCAACACAGCTTTACACCAACGTCCCTTCCAAAGTACTCACCTTACAAAGGTTAATACGTATACAAGAGCACCCTTACTAAACAACCATAAACAACCCCTCACCTCGGCTTTACGTGACGCACATATTCAGTCAAACACTCACACAGTCACATATGATTGGCAATATCATCCGTGCACTCAGTCACTGGTTTGTCTGATCCAAACTCGACTATTTAAAGGCCGCTATCATATAGCTTGCCTATGTCTGCGTGCGGCCTTAGATGGCAAACAAACAAAATGAAAAAAGTCCTGATGTATTTGCTAGATAACCGTATAGTATTCCATCCACTTTGCTCCGCCTGCCACTATAGTACTGTCAGAAATGCTAGAAAACTGCTTTTTGCCTGTTAAAAGAGGATATAATTTTTCACAGACTGTTGTTTTTTAAATATCGAGTAACTGCCGATCGCCCTACCTGTGGTTTGAAGTATTTCAGTCACATGGAGTCCTATCGACAAGTTTACAGGAGACAAATTTGAACGAAAACAGGAAGTTCACACTTATTCTAAGTCCAATGATGAGAGTCTGAAACGGACTATAGAAATATGCGCACGTGACTCCGTTATAATGATAATGATGTAGTCTTCATAAAACATCTAATCCACACACACAAAAATCATTTTGAGAAAATTCTAGATGTGCATCTTCTAAAATGACAAAATGACGCTGCAGTTTGTTTGTTATCGTTGCTCCCATGATGCATGTTACATTACACTTGCATAGCCTTAACCATGGTACACGATGTGGTATCTGTACTGGGAAATGTATAAAAGTTCTTTACATCTTAGAGAGATAGAGGGAAACCATTTATTACTTTAGATAGGGTGAATTACCGAACTTCCCAAGCTATGGGGTTTTCAATTCATACCATCAAGTCTACGGTATGATAAGAAAACGAAACAGGTATAGGGGTGGTCTCAAAAACAAAACTGGGAAGTAAAATGATATTAGACAGCTTTGATACAGGTTGATTAGGCGTACAGTGTAAAGCTTTATGAGCAGAAGGTAACCCTGACTTGTAGTAGAATTTGGGAGGAATTAAAGATACAATTAATGTTTCCCGGACTGCACTAACTATTGCTCCCTAAGAGATGGGATTTCGATACACTGTGCATGGCGATGACCGAGCGCTTTTCAGGGGAAAATATTCCACCCTGTCTATGAGGTCACATTATCTCCGAACCATTCATAACTATCACAGTCAGGGCGTCCAGATAATTAACCTTGATAAATCATTCCACTGACTACATGTGGCTATTGGCAGATGGACGAAAAGCACCCATGGTACCATCAGGTAAAGGTAATCGTGTCATTGTTTTGCACGCTGCAACCCATGATATGGGGCTTATTGATGGATGTGTGCTAGTTGTCGAGGCGAATAAGAAAACTGATGATTTTCATAAGGAAATTAAAGGAGGTGATGTGTTCATAGACTGGTTGGAACTTCAGCTATTGTCCATTTTAAACAACGCCAGTGTTATTGTCATGGATAACGCCCGTTAATATAACGTCCAGGAATCAGATACTGTCGCCCACACCATGAGTAGTCTGAAGGCGACCACACAGGAATAAATGACATTGTCGACTCAGACCATATGAAATTAAAGTTCAACTCATGGAGAAAATTCGGCTGAATAAGAAACCAATAAAGTACAAGACATATGTGCTGGCGGCACAACACGGTTACGTTGTCTTACGTACGCCAGTCAGATATTGTGAGCTCAACCCTGTTGTGCCCATCTTGGCTAAGTGTAACGGGTTCGTACCAAGACATAACATAACATTCAAAAGTACAGATTCATATACGTCATCAGCGGAGATAAATGCTACCTCAAGAAACCATCTGTAGAACAACAAATACTTCTGGAATCCAAAACCGCAACCTTCAAATACTCATCCCGTTTCATAGCTCTTAACTAGTCCATCATGTCTCCAAGCTAATATAATGCAGTACATATCCTAAATTGCTACCCCATCAACGCATGTCAATTAAGTACAATAACAGCAATATTTTGAGACCACCCCAAACTCGGTGACATTTGCACCTGGGAGAATGCACCAGGGACAGTGGGGTAGCCTAGTGGTTAAAGCGTTCGTTCGCCACACGCTGAAGACCCAGGTCTGATTCCCCACATGGGTACAATGTGTGAAGCCCATTGATGGCGTCCCCCCGCCATATATCACTGGACTATTACTAAAAGCGACGTAAAAACAAAGTCACTCACTCACTGTATGTATCTCAATATAATAAATCGATGTCTCCCTCCAATGAAATAAACATGTTTTTGAATATACAAATTTCCTCTATGTGCATCTTTGATCACCGACAGTGATCAAAAGAAGTCCAAATAATTCCAATTTAGGAAAAAAACATATTCCTAGTGCAAGACTACTATAAAACATGAAGTTCCATGTCTGTAGCTATAGTTCGAAGAAAGTTGTTGCAATTCCGTTCGGTAAACTACAGGACAACTTTAATACAGAACATATCAAGGAAGTTATACGTACTGCCGGTTTCAATACCTGAACTTCAATTTAAGTTAATCCATATAATTTATTATAATTTCTTTGAGAGGTATTTAGAAGTTGGAGTACTAAGTAAGGATAAGATATATGGATGAACTTCTTTATTACAATTAGGAGTGCCGTTTCGGTGTAGGTTCTGACACAGTTATCAAGTAGGTTGAGTAGGTTTAAGATATAGTTGCACTGGAGTTGAGAAGAGTGTTATGTACACAGAAGGGTAGCACATATTGACCGATGAAGCCTGTAATATAACAAAAGAATGAAGCCAGTAATACAATAAAAATATAGATATAATAAAAGGATTATGACTGCTTGGGGTCTTTGGTGAGTTGGTGGTACGCCGGTGGCATGTAGTAGCCTTGGTCACGGTTGCTTGATGGTTGGATTCTTTTGGCTTCTTGTAGTTTTCTGAATTCTGTCTCAACCAATACAGAGGATGCCGTCTGCACCAATGTTGACGAGCCTGGTGATGAGTCTGCGTGGACGTTAACCATAATTTCTCTAGTGGTTGATGACGGTCTGGGGGTGTACCCGCCTACAGTCGGAAATGACCCTGGTCGTTGTTGTGGCAGGTTGAAGCGAACTGCGCAGATGAATTAATCGAACCCATCGGATTTGAGCAGGGTGGTAACTCTCGGTCTACCTGAACGTGGCCTATCTCTCACGTCATTTCAATGTGCATATCGACGGGCTAATGCTGAAATCGTGTAACGATGGCGTCAAAAGTTGGGCAACCTCGCGGTGAGTGGTACCAGAACACAACATGCTTAGTGCAATGTGACGTCCATCTGTACTCAATCTTGGCGTGGCGTCGTAGTCAATGGAGTCAAGTAAAGCAGGTGGATATATGAACGTTTTGAAAGTGTAGGTTTTACATGGCCATTTAATTCACAGTCCTGCTTGCATCGCACGCTTCTCCGCGTGCTTAGCATGAGTTTAACTCATATGCATCACGTCTTCCAACATCAAAATATTTCATTGGTTAAATCTCATGTCACATAACAATACATGATAAAAACCGGCAAAAGATCACCTGCAGCTGAAGGGAGATCACCAGACTAGAGACCATGGGGACTTACAGTACCTTTGCTACCAGCATGAACCTAAGCAGGATTTACACCATCTCTTCAAGTGTTGGTGATTTTTGAGACAGTTAGCCTAACATTAAAACGACACATATTCTACGATTGAAAATGGGATAGTTCTAAATTTACTTTGAAAGATGTGGAACCTCACAGGAGGACAATAATTTTACAGTACATTAACCACCTGCAAGATACCGGCACTAACAATCTCAGTTGCTAATCAAATCTACAAAACAAATTAATCAAATCTTTTCAAACAGATCAATTTCCTTAATAAAAAGGCCGGTTTATTAGGTGTTCATTAAACACTCTTTCAGAATTGTTTCTATTTTTCCAGCTATTTTCCCTATTCCCAGCTTTTCTACAAGCATCATAATACCATTGTGTTTTTACATGTGGATTTGTCGAGGTCTTGGGAATACTATCAGCAGCAATGTTAATTGATTTATCAGAATATGATTTGATCTGGTCAGGATCCCCAACAAAATGGTCAAATATCAATGCACAAAAGTACTAAAGGTCTACCAATCTGCCTTTATAGATTTCCATTTAGTAATGGGTGGGTCCATACAGGGCGCAACAGTTTCAAATATGGTCGGTAAATGATCATGTACTGGCCACGATAACTCATCTAAAAGAGATGGATCAGCAAGAACTAAATCCAGAGCAGAGTACGTACCACTTGCTAGATGTAAAAACGTATTTTTTCCATCATTAAAGAGACATAGATCAATCTTCTAGGACAACTCTTCAAGTACTACCCCTTTCTGGTATAGATCGGCTGATCAAAATAGGTCGTGACCATTAAGATCTCCCATAAGCCAGATCGGCTTTGGAAGTTGGGTGATAAGATTATCTATTTTTTTTACCTGAAATGCAGTTGATGGTGGTACATAAAAAGAACATAATGTTACAGCAACATGCAAAGTTTTAACACACTGGCACCACCAGTGCTTTTACCATTAGTAACCTTTGCATATGAATTAATCATAACCTATTGATGGAAGTTAATAGTATCATGTTCTCTTAAATATGTTTAACTTCTTTCGAGTTTTGTTTCAACATAATTTGCCTCAAGAGCTCGACAGTTCCATTGTAAGATTGTGTCATTATGCATTAGAAAGCAATGACAGGAGACCATTCTCTGCCTTTTTTTCCTTGGCGAATAGCTCCTAGAGCATTGCTTTGTGGAGAAGACAGATCCATGTCATCAAACACACCAAACATATTAAATATAGACATAGGATCTCGATTACCCTTAGGTCTGATTTTTTTGGTTTAGAGTAGTCTACATTTGGATTTGTCTTCAAAGCTGGTTGTGGGGTAGCTGTATAGGAACTGGCAGTTTCCGAAACAGTCGCTGAATCAGCAGATAGAGAAAATATTGAAGGGGATTCTGTTGCAGTCTCTAGGACATCCAACACTTATGCATGAAACAGTTGCTGAGTAAGAACTACGAGAAAAATGTTCTTTATCCAAACCAATCTTTTTCGAATCTTGAAATTAGATGTTCCGCTCATGTTTTAGTTTCAAAATTGTTTACTAACGTTTCCACGTAGGACATACTGTGAAAGAATAAACGTGGGTACAACCACAATTCAAACAGGGGGGTCTTTGTCACTCTCAGCACTGTCTACACAACTGACACCGCACCAATGACAGGTAGCCTGCTTTTCGCCTGTGTTTGGACAATGGCTATAGTGCTGATCTCAGTGGATTCAGAATGTACATATTAACTGTAATGCTACAATATCCTGCTCTTATTGAGTCTGGAAGCTTTGGAATACCAAACGTAAACAGGTACGAATTCGGGGAAGTGTCCCACAGATATAATGACGATGTGCATGTGCGTGGTTGTAAAAGCAAATTTCGCCCGAGTCAATCAAATTCTGGATTCACGAGATTGACGAATAATGAACAAATTTCGTCATCGAGAGTAATGGGAGTATCCTCTGTGTTCTTTACTTTGACAAATAATGAACAAAACTAGTCATCGAGCGAAATGAAGTGTAACCTTTTTTGTATGTATTGTATTGATATTTATTTAAGCATATGAAAACAACAGGCATGAAATTGAGAAAACAGACACATGTGTGCGCGTTTATAAAAGGAAGATACTAGCGTCCCGGAAAATATACATGTTGAACTTATAATTTAAGGGTATCTCATTAAACACAAAAATGTGATACAAACATATATACCATTATAGGACCCACGAGACAAACCCGACATAATGAACAGTTGATCAGATATGAACTGTAACGTTTCTTACTCAGCTATTAAAATTCATAAACCAGTCATTAAAAGATCTTAAGATCAATGCTCGATGGAGTCAATGTTAATATCAAAACAAATAACAAGGCAATATGTCTTTCATATTAACCGCATTGGCGACTTTGCACTGTGTGCTGTACCATATCAAGTTAGAACATGAATACTAGACATTACAAATAACGATTATACTCAGCGTTACGATTGGGGAGTCAAGCAGGTAATAATAGATAAAAGTATTCAAAAGACGTAACCATTTTTGCTATTTCATAAAAGCATTCAGTCAGTGTGACATATAATCATTTATTCCTACATATCGGTAATATGGAGTACATGAAAGTTATCAATTTTTCGCGGATTGATTCGTAATGTTTGACGTAAAAAGTACAATCTTTCGAAATCATTTTCCACAGGTGTCGGTGCATGTTGGCATTGTAGTGAACGGTTCCTGCATGTATACCCGAATATTATGACGCGAATAAAACAAATTATACCTTTATTCAAGTGTACACTGCAGTAACGAATATGCAAGTTAAGCCCATGTGCGGACAACAATCAACGCGTTTTAAGATTAAATCAATAACGATATAATATGTGGTACTTACAGTTAAATGCGATGTCAAACTGTAGAGAGTGCTTTGCAGAGAGCTGAAACCGGTGGCTTTTATACATGTTAATAGGTTTTAACACCTTTATCCGAGGCGCTACTTGTAAGTACATCTGTTGTATGCATAATGCTGACACAACGTGATGGGGCGACATCGGTAGTTTGAGGCCTGTGTCAACAGCCTTCTTTACCTGTCACCCAGCATTGTCGTGTGTTGATTAGCATCAATAAACCGGACGTGAAACATATACTGTAACACGATGAACAAATTGGCAATGCGTAATACACACTTCCATATACACCGTGTTTGTATTATTCAGAGCCGGCATTTCGTAAAATTACTATTCTAAAAACAGTTAAGTAATAACCTATTATGGCAAATGATTGCTTGAACTTTTTTTAATCATCATCTTACAATATGTTTCAGGCAATGGCCATTTTATTTAGGGCAAGTACGCCACAGTTGAATTTTATGATATTAAGTATTTGGAATGGCGTAACATTTGATATATAAACTTGTGCTTCATATAAAGTTCAATAAAAATACATTTATTGTGAAATTAAAAATTGAAAAAGACACCATGTCATGAAGACATCCTCTCGACCTTAAGGTCGTGCTTCACAATCTGCTTTGTGCATGTTCATGCACAATGCATGTGTTTGTTGAAAGCATGATACTCACACATGTGGTGATTGTGAACAACACACAATGCTTGTTTAGCCATCAGGTACTAAAACACTTTCCTTCAACCGTAATTAACGCTTACGCAATGCCACGGCTATCTACGCGTCATTAGAATGCTGCAAACAGGAATAGCGCAACACGAAGTTATCCGGCGTCTTAATGGCCATAGAATCATGATATCATCTCTTTGGAGGCGTTATCTACAACAGGCAACACTTTTGACTTGCCACTGGCCTGCCGTCCACATGTGACGTCACGTCAACAAGACAACCATTTTCGGTTGGTGCATCTACGGAATTAATACCAAACTACCATATCAACTGCTCGGACAATCCCTGGCTTTAGATAACATAATTGTGGACATGTATGCAATCGGGACAACAACATCCGGTCCTGACGTCCACCAATACGCCCAACGTTGCTGCCACGTCACCGTAAGGTACGCCTAGTTTGGTGTAGACAGCACTTGAGGTTCAGAAGACAAGACTTGGAGAGTATACTGTTCCAGGTTCATGTAAAGGTCTACAGGTGTCCAGTATACCGTTGTAGCGATGCTTTCGTTACTCAAAGTCGACATTTTCGATATTGGAAGTGTAATGGTATGGGGTGGTATCACAACCTATTATTGTTAATGGCAATTTGAATGGCGTACGCTACCAGGATGACATAATTCAAGATAATGTTATATCCTTTGTACAAATGCAGGGATGTAACGTGCACGTTGTAGCAGCATTACTCCCTCTCACATGTTGCACGTGTTGCAGTATAATGTCAGACCTCTCCCTCATAGAATGTGTCTGGGATGAGATGGATCAATACCTGCAGGATGTCCATAACCAGCCCGTAACTCAAGCTTAGGCGGGTCAATCTTCGGTTGACATCTGGAACAACCTCCCCCAACATCGCCTGAATAAACACAAATGGTCACCAGATACGGATACTGTTATGCTCTGTACTTTTCGTTTTGCTGACCTAAATACATCCATGTTCAAATATACCTGGCGCAGGGGGACAACATTTTGTCAGACCCGTCAGTTTAAAGTGTACTATAGTTTGTTTCTATAAAACATCTAATAAAACATCGGAGTGAGTGTGAGTGAGTGAGTTGGGTTTAACGCCGCTTTTAACAGTATTCCAGTTATATCGCGGCGTGTCAGCTAAATGTGGGTTGGTTGGTTGGTTGGTTTTTGTTTAACGCCGCACTCAGCAATATTCCAGCTAAATGACGGCGGTCTGTAAAATAATCGAGTCTGGACCAGACAGTCAATTGATTGATATCATGAGCATCGATCAATGCAATTGGGATCGATGACATGTATAAACCAATCAGCGAGCCTGACCACCCGATCCCGTTAGTCGTCTTTTCACGACAAGCATAGTCGCCTTTTACGGCAAGTATGGGTTGCTGAAGACCTATTCTAACCCGGAATCTTCACGGGTTAATGTGGGAGGAAAGCCCGAAGTGATGCAGGTCTCAGAACGTTTACCATTTCGGCGACACCCACGAGCACGGGTATGGTGCTGACAAACCTAGAAATATAATCGGGGCGAACCGGGATTCGAATCCACAATCATAGGTTTCTGGCCTGCCCAAGGGACGCAACTCTGCAAAGGCGAATCGCGGCGCCTTAGACGACTGGGCCACCCGTGCCCCCAATAAAACATCGGAGCACCCTTGAGAAAGAAGAACAGGCAACATGTTTCATTCTGGGGCACACGGAGCCTGAATTAATATTCCGGTTTAGCGTTGTTTAGTCAGAGGTAATGCCATTGGTAGTATGCTAAATAAAAGGAGGAAAGAGCATTGGAAGAAACCCAGTCCGACCCACCCTGCTGTCATTCAAAGTCCAAGACAGGAAGTTTGTAGTTGCTCTAACTTTTTTTTCTTTTTTTGTATAACGACACCCTCAGCAATATTCCAGCTATATGAGGGCGTTCTGTAAATAATCGAGTCTGAAACCAACAAGCCAGGGATTGACCATCTTCCCGAGGCAAGAGATGTAAGTGACTATAAAAGTCAAGTTTCCACCCTTGCCGAACTAGGCTGGTATTATGGAGTTAGATTTTGGCTGGACTAACGAGTCTATGCGTAAACCAATCAAAATCGCACACAGAAATCGAAATCCGGTTCGTAAACTGTCATGCAGAGTTCGGTCGATTGCAGGATTTGCACAGCATGTTGTCAGCGGATATTTTCCAAATCTGTTCATGTTTTTAATCAAGGTGCGCACGCAATTTGATGCATTTCGCGATGTCAGACCCTTTTTATCACAATACAGATCTTGATTGTCGATCAGATCGTCTTGACTGGGCGCCGCCATTTTTTTAAAGCAAATGCAAGTGATACGAGAGGTGGAATCTGATTGGTCCATAGGAGAGGCTTAGAAGGGACATAACTCGTAACAGCCACTGTTCCCTTTATGTCGTGTAATATTCCAGCAGCTCCAGCCTTTGGTGTCTATGTTTCACAACTTTTGAGATGCTATCGAACATGCTCTGATCGAGCATCAAACGACTCTTTCTCGAAAACTGTTTTATCAGAGGTACAACATCCAAGGCTATAGTAAAGCTGTGAAACAAATGTATGGTAGACATGGTCCATTGGTTTTTTTCTCAGGTGAACAACTGACTTGCCTGTCCATGTGTTTGTGACGGGTGCCACCGGTGAGGCATCTTTTCGAGAATACCTGGTATTATTACTGATGGACAGATTCATAAACATATGCTTCTATAGTATTATAATAGGAATCGTACACTGGACTCCAGGAATAGACAGGGGTTCATAACTGATTGCCCAACGAAACAGATGCTACATGGCCGTATTTTATGTCTTGTGGCTAGGGAACATAGTTTGGTCGCTTTTATTTAGAGAACCTCTCACTGCCTTGCTAGTAGCGGAGTAGCGTCTGATATTCCCAGTGGCGACACGGAACGACAATACTTAGGTGGCTGCTGAAGCGTCCCGTAGGAACCCCAAAGCCAGGTACAACATGGTGGATATTATTGCAACAATGACTGCATATGAAATTGCAAGCTTGATTGTAGGTGTTTAAATCCATTATAGCAAATAACAGCTGTTAACCGTGGGAATGATTTTTAACAGGAGACAATGTGCTTCAGGCGTGAAAGCACTCTGGTCACGCTTCTATATCGATTATGGACAGGGTGGGGTTTGTGTTTTACTACTGGTGTGAAAGCGCTCTTGGTTATTATAAAAATGTGTTAATGCTTCTACATCGAATATGAACAGGATGTGTTTTTTATTTATTTTACATACAGCGTATGTGAGATCACTCATGATTACCTTAGCAATATAAATTGTTGGCCACAATATTATGACTCCAACCAAGAATGGCATAGAAGGCATTTAACGCCAAATAATTTTAACTCACTGATAGAGAAGGTGTGATGACAATAAATGTCTGATTATATATATAATCTCAGGCACAATATAGTAATAATTAAATAAGTGGAGTAAGATTGAACACAGATTTAATAGGCTAGCGCTTTCAACTCGTACCACGTACGAGACTCAGGCCATAACTGAAAAACGGACATGAAGTAGTTACATATAGTTACGTGACGTCATAACATTTAGGAGAACTATGTCACAATACCAAGGTGACAATGGACAAATAACTTACGCCTTTACATTTAACTTAGGCGCGTATTTATGAATGAAATATTGCTTTTTTTGAAACAATGTAGGTTCATGATCGAAATTTAGCTTATATAGCGGGAAAACCTAAAAGTTGCCGCTTCCACATGTATCTAAATGTTCACTGAGTGGAATCGTGCGGTGTGTGGCTGCTTTATTTGTGAACGGGGAAGATTCATTCTTCTTTTTAATTTAAGTTCTGTCTTTCTGATATACTTTTCATTGCATCCACTACAAACAATCAAGTAAATAACATTTCTAGTATCACAAGTCATATTTTGTTTTACAGTAAATTTAGTGTCCTTTGTAATTTGGACTGACCAGCCTTCAATTATATTGCTGCAAGTTAGGCAACGTTTGTCACCGCACTTAGAAACCTGTGGTGTGATCACAGAATCAAATTTTGAACTTTTCAAAATCTTTCTAAGATTTTTGGGTTGTCTATGGCTGTTGATAACTTTGTATTTGCTTAATATCTTCTCCATTTTAATACTTTGATTCAAAATAGGCAGGTACCGTTGAACCATGGATAATGTTTTTTCATGAGGTCTGTGTGTGTGTGTGTGTGTGTGTGTGTGTGTGTGTGTGTGTGTGTGTGTGTGTGTGTGTGTGTGTGTGTGTGTGTGTGTGTGTATTTAATACTTATACACCTGATGAAATCACTTGTTTATATATTAACATATATATATATATATATATAAGTATCCCTTCTTGAGGGCGACTATAGGTCTTTGGTTTCCGGACAATGTGTCCGAATGGCCATAAAAGAAAATCGTATATTCAACTAAGATATGTTCTTTGGATCTATTTTATTCATTTTATTTTAATAAAGGCCGGTTTAATAACACCAATGTAGAAGTGTTTGGTTAAACCTTGTTTACATTTAGATATTTCCCTTTACAAACGATCTTACCCAGTGTGAGTGGGAGTAAACGTGAGATGCGCGCAGCGCATCTTTCAGCAATACTTAAGTTACATCAAAGTGTGGCATCTTAATGTAAGATAGCGGAAAGACATTTTACGACTTTGGAGAAAGTGTCGAGCACAATAGACCGATCCAGTCAGACTTACTTCCGGGGTCAAACGACACCCGAGAAGCGACATGGCTACGGTTTGTGCTATTTTCACTCGCGATATCCATTACGTATCGCTGGGATTAGATGTATACCTTAAACAAACCCACAGGGTCGGGAGAAAAATGTTTGAGGCTGATCAAGATGTGCGGTTGTCCTCACCATCAGTTAAATGTCGCCACCATCTTCCACGGGACCCACGTCTGCTCGAAGATGAGTATTTGCACGAATTTCCGCCCTTTTGCACATATGCATACTCAAATCGGGTAAATGACAACACTTAGCAAGTTATGATTTGACGCATGTTATAAACAAGGATAATGCTTGTAACTACAAAATCATTTTCGAATTATGTATTTTGGCAACATCGGGCATTGAGTTAGCAGGTCATATTGCTGAAATGTGACACGCGAGACGGCCGTGACACACTTAACAAATATGAAAGTGATCTGATTTCGGTTAGTGCAGAACGAATTCTACTATTATTTACATTGAAGTACGATCTGGTGGATCTTGTATTCCTCTCTCTTAGACATGATTTATTTTGTTACAGATTTTAAGATATGATTTAGTTTCAAAATCACCACACACAAAAAAATCACAATCAGCCTATCTGTTAATATTGCAAATTACTCGAGCATAATATTGCAAATTACTCCAGCAGTAATAATTCTTTAAACATAGAAATATAATCATTGTCAATGGTTTTCGTTCCATAAAATCTTTCAATTTATTTCATATAAATTCCTATTAAATCATGCTTTCACTATTTCAGCATTTCTATGAAGAGACAGGACCCATGCAGTAATGTATAAATGGAATCATCCCTTCAAGGTGAGAAAGGAGAGTTTCGAATCCACGGTCACCGAATCCGTGCATGGTAAAGGGAGGGAACTTAAACGCCAAGGTGATAGGTACAAACAACGAATAGTTTTCAAATTTAAAGTAACAACCACAGTATATCCTTCCATTACCGTGTTTTGACAGTGTATCAATACTATGTGGACTGTCTGTAAATAGCACCACATCTGGTCACAGTTGTGTACTATACAAGGCACATTTCGCGAGATCGACGGATTGACAGATACGTCTTACTTCAATCACTGATTAACTGCAAGTTGCTTGATTATAAAGATGCAATACGTCATAATTACGCTGGTTAACAGTCTTAGTTTGATGAAGAGAAGAATGGAAGAGTGGAAGCTGACGACAGCAGAAAGTGGCTTCATGCATTGTACCCTGGTCGGTAATCGAAACGGATCCTCCGCGCTGAACTTTTTAACCACAAGTCTACTCTACCGCTCTACACCACGTCTAACCATTCCTTGGTTTCACCACATGGTAACCGGCTACGACCTGGGTGACTTCTGGCATCTCTCCCACATTAAGCCGATACGATGTGGGCGAACTAAGGAACTGTTCCAGGCAGCGTTATACCGAACACTCAGTCGCCGTGGCTTGCCGATCTGCACTATTTCAATTCAGGAACATTTAGCAGGGGTGTCTTGAGATATTTTACGACTGCTTCATCTCAAATGCACCCGAGTTTAATTACTTAAAAGTTTGACGCCTCAAATCTGCAACTCGGATGAATAATCCAGTATTTCAGATACAGGTGGTAACGCGTTTTTAGAAATCAAACTTTGTCTAAGGACATACTATTCAAAAGTTAAAGAATACCCGATTGTTTCATATGACCATGGATGTTCAGCTTATATCACCGACGAGTCCAGATCATATCTGTCATCCCGATGGAATGACCAGAGTAGCGGATTGTTGCGTTCAGAAGGTGAATAGTTGGGGCGTGTGGGAGAGATTTAGGGTTTATGGCAGGATCGTCTTCACATTCTGAAGAATGATGCACTACCCCATACTGCCAGACACGGCATGAACTTTCAGCAAAACATTCGTCCTGCTGTGGCCATCAATGTCTCCGGATGTAGCCCCAAAAAGAACGTACGTGTACGTGTGTGCGCGCAGTTTGAACCCCGTCATTGTTTATTTATGGTTGCACTAAATGACGAATGCTTTTGCGATTCCGTTTCCATCTTGATTGACAATTTCAAATTTGTTTTTCTTAATTAATCAGGGAGATATATAAAGTAGTATTTCGGTGACGCGTTTCTAATGACTTCAGTCAGACCATATAAAAGATTACAATGGTCTGCTTCCGTGCATGACAAGGAGGTACGATGTTAAGTTCCCTTCATAATGGAGCAAATAGTCAAGCAGCTCCTGCTCTTGATTTTCCAAATTTCACGTAGTGACAACAAAAAGTCTAATGCAATTCCTTGATCTAAACATTTATAGTGTTTCAATGTACATAAAATTGCCTGGCATCTCCAATTTGCGTTATTCCTGTCTGCAGCATACCCACGGCCAGATTTACAACAAGCCGTGGTATTACGTCAGCTTATTTTTGGGTAAGCAATGTTTATTAAAATCAAATTGCTCAACATCTGTGCGCCGTTAACATTTCAAAAACCACGTGTTTCAGCATCACCCTCCCTAACATGCAAATTGTGCATCAACATGCACGTGCAAATTGTTAATTACAACCTTGAGGTCTTCACGACAATGTATTGAAATGGGAATTTAAATTTAGATTAAATGTATTTTTAAAACTGAAGTCACGGTTACTTTTTCCGTTAGTACATCATTGAGATGAGTTATGTAAAGATTATGCGAGATTCTGTGCGACCTTGCAGTATTATACTTGAACTGTCAGGTATCGTCTACCACAGTTTAATTACCGATCATTAATATTTTTAAAAAACTAAAATTTTAAACAATTAACCCACAGTTTACCAATTTCATTCTTGTATTAGCTTTAGCCGGCAATAATGCCCCTTGTGGAAGTGCTGGCAAGTGGAGTGAGCGAGTTGTTTAACGCGGCTTTTAACATTACAGTTATGTCAGATTAATGTGGGAGGAAGGCCCGAAGTGATGCAGGTCTCAGACGTTTAACACTTCGGTGAAACGGGCATATGTATGGTGCTGACAAACCTAGGAACAGAATCGAGGCGAACCGGGATTCGAACCCACAATCATAGTTTTCTGGCATGCCCAAGGGACGTAACTCTGCACAGCGAATCGCGGCGCCTTAGACTGGGCCACCCGGGCCACCCGTGCGCCCTGCTTAGTGGAAGGTTTAATGTTGTACACGATTGGCACAGGTTTAAATTACAGGTCCCTCCTGGTTGAAATGATCATCTTGACTATTTGAACAGACTGATACAATTTTCGTTTAAATAATGAATAAGCAATAAAATTATTATTATTATTTTTATTGACCAACCACCAAATAAAACGTTACAGTATTTACTGGTTGCGCCGGAAACGTGACCGAGGAGCTTCGTTTTGTTCAAGTGGTACGTCTTCCGCAACGCCGTTCAACGTAAACACCTCCGTCATGGCATGACTGCGGGAATTCCAAAGAAAGCTTCCTAGACCGTCACCTACCAAAAAAACATAGGAAAGAAGCCAGTTAGAAGTCCTTCAACGAGAGATCCAAAAATATATTTTTAAAAAAACTGTAGCATACATTTCCAGACAGTATCAAACCCATCTGTTGACATTACGATGTAAACTGGAGGAACCAGTCAATTGGCTACAGTGATCCAGTAACCCACCATGGTGTCGGTAATTAACGTTACATCGGAGACAAGATTGGCCAGGGTATGGACCCAGGAGACGAATTATAACCTCTACAATGAACTAAGAAATTTCGCTTGCCCCACAGTGGATTTAGAGCATAAAATATATTTACACATTACCTGGCTCATCTCTGCGTTTACGTGTCGACTTTGGAAAACACGATGGCTGAAAGGCAAAGGGATAAAAGTACTTGAGTGATTTAGGAAACGTTTGTTTAAATGTCGCCGTCATTTAAGCGATTTGCGTCACTTCACCCAAACAATACAAATGTGGTGTGGACGTTAACTGCAGTTGTGTACTAGCAATACATTTGGTAACCCGTGAAGATCAGGGGTAGAATAGGTCTTCAGCAACCCATGCTTGTCGCAAGAGGTGGCTAACGGGATCGGGTGGTCAGGCTTGCCGAGTTGGGAATCAAGGGCATGCATCAACCAATTGCGTGGATCGATGCTCATGTGATCAATTACTCGATTGTCTGGACCAGGCTATTTACAGACCGCCGTCATATAGCTGGAAGATTTGCCGAGTGCGGCGTTATAACAACCCAACGAATGCATTTGGTACAGTACTTGACTGTCTGCATTAATTGCAATCAGCAAATCTTTACTTTTGACAATTTTAATATTGTCAAAGAAAAGACGCAATAAGTCAGTTAGAGCAGACTCATGCTCTGCTTCATGTGGGTCTGCCCGAAAATGAGTTCCAAATGAGGCTCTTACTCCATTGCATGCTTTGGCGCAGACCGTAAAGTTGCATTCAAACTTTAAACTTGGATCCCCGTTGACAGTAAACACTTTAAAGAAAGCGCTGTAGGCGTTCTTGCCAATAGTTTTAAAGCCACGAGTCTGTTTCAGGACCATGCCGTCTCCACACCTGAAACAAGGTAGAAGTAAAAGTTACAGCATACATACATCTAGGTATATACTCGCAAAGCGAGTTTGATTAAGTCTTTATATATGTATTCTGTTGGAAGGTGCCAGCTTGGAGACAAAGAAAATCTAACATGAATCTTTGTCGTTTCCCTCTTTGGTGCCTAGAAACCCAAAACAGTCGTGAACCAGGATACGAACCCACGATCAGAGGTTAGCTAGTCTGCAAAGGGAAATGCGGCGGCGGTGAAGACCTTGAGCAAACTGGATAACAAATAATTTTGAAACGACAGTCAACCTCCGAAGTTAAGCTAGGATTATTTTTTTTTTTTTTTTAAAATCAATGATTCTATTACAAGTACGCTTGGAAGGCAAATGGGAAGATGATTTTAGGAACGTAGTTGGTTTGGTGTGTTTGTTGTTTAACGCCGCACTCAGCAATATTACAGCTATATGACGGCGGTCTGTAAATAATCGAGACTGGACCAGACAATCCAGTAATTGATATCATGAGCATCGATCCACGCAATTGGGATCGATGACATGTATCAACCAAGTCAGCGAGCCTGACCACCCGCTCCCGTTAGTCACCTTTTACGGCAAGTATGGGTTGCTGAAGACCTATTCTACCCCGGAACCTTCAAGGGTCTTAGGAACGTGGCCCAATCAAGTCGGCCTTGAGAAGTAAAAAGTATTGGGACCTAGTTTCGAACTGAACAATCATGATGTATGTTTACAGTAATGTCAGGTCCCCTCGTTCATAGGGTGCAAATCCGGGTAGAATAGTCTTCAGCAACCCATGCTTGTCGTACGAGGCGACAAACAGGATCGGGTGGTTAGACCCTGGCTTGGTTGAAGCATGTCATATCCCAATTGCGTGGATCGAGGCTCTTGATGTCAATCACTGGATTGTCTGTTCCAGACTCAATTTGTTTTACACACAGTGGTTATATAGCTGGAATGCACAAACACAAGAGTGTTCAAGTGCCCGTACAAATGTTTTAACTAACCCGGATCTTAGAATAGAGAACCTTCCACCCTTGGAATTCAAAGCATCGCAAGATTCGGGTCGGAGTCCTTTGTCAGCTGGGCCTGGAAGAAAAAAATTAAATCAGTTTATGGTATTTAGCCAAAGTGACAATATTTTATCTATATGCATAGTGATACACCGCTTTAAAAACTGCGCCATTCCGGTGAAAGATCCGGGCGAGAATTGTCTTCAGCAACATACTAACGGGCGACTAACGGGATCGGGTTGTCGGGTCTCCTACTTCGGTGATGCAAGTTATGGTGTGCTGACTGACGAGAGCATAGATCTACGCAATCACTGGATTGTCAGGTCCAGACCTTTTAATGCCTAGTGCGGCGCTAAACAGACATTGCTGTAGTGCAATGACCAGGTCGTTTGTCCAGACGTCACCGCCAGGATGCCGAGATGTATCGACGCCTACGACAGGACTGGAACCAGCCGGTAACGGCTAGCTCAGTTGTATAATCTGGTTAACATTTGGATCATTTTCACTGGTGTCTTTAAAATACACTGTACGAACGCTAAATTTTGTAACATAAGAGTGAGGGGGTACTGTTTAACGCCGCTTTTAACAGTATTCCAGTTATATCGTGTCGGCTTAATGTGGGAGGGAAGCCCGAAGTGATGCAGGTCTCAGACGTTTACCACTTCGATGAAACCAACGAGCACGGGTATGGTGCTGACAAACCTAGAAACAATCCGAGCGAACTTGGATTCGAATACACAATCATAGGTTTCTGGCGTGCCTAAGGGACGCAACTCTGCACAGCGAATAGCTGCGCCTTAGACGACTGGGCCACCCGTGCAACATTACATACATCGACAATCGTTAATCGATTTGTTACACCACCCCACTTTCAGGACGTATCGCCCCGTGTTGCCAGGTTAGGCGAAATGGGGTTTAGCGAGCGTCCAAGGTTATTGCACTTATATAGCCACGTGCATGCACGTGAGGCTGCTTGTACTAGTTCGGACTAATGCGCTAGTTTTCTAGCGCTAGCCCACCGAGATACCGGGTAATGCTGCAGTTTAACATGAATATCCCACTCAGAATACCGACTCCGAGCCGACCAGGCCCGTTGTAGCCCCTTAATGCCGAGCGCCAGACAGGGTAAGTACCATTTTTGGGTATGATGCGGCCGGGGATCGAACCCCGAACCTTCTGCTCTGGGCAGACGCTCTACCACTAGACCACGGAGGCGGTCCCCTGTGTTACGAGAACATGTTTTGTCAATTTACTTGATAGGAAAGAGCAATGCGTTTTCAATATGTGTAGCCTCACTAGCTGTAACAGTTGTTCCGTTACTATTTTAATATTTTATAAACTTCCTACGTTTTTGTGACCCGTGAAGATGATTCCGGGTTAGAATAGGTCTTCAGCAACCCATGCTTGTCGTAAAATGCGACTAACGGGATCGGGTGGTCAGGCTCGCCGACTTGGTTGATGCATGTCATCGATCCCAATTGCGTTGATCGATGCTCATGATGTCAATAACTGGATTGTCTGGTCCAGACTCGATTATTTACAGACCGCCGTCATATAGCTGGAATATTGGTGAGTGCGGCGTTAAACAACAAACAAGTTTGTGCAAGCCTGTTAGGATATTTGAAATGGTTGAATTTCTCTTCCCCCCAAGAGGGCATTAGTTTAAATGTCATCCCTTGCAGTCTGGTTTGTGATCATTGTAAACCCTCCGATGAGATGAGTGACGAATACGTCTACACTCAAAATTAGAATTTGCGTTTCAAATGTCTAATATTCGACGACAAGAAACGAAAGTTAATTACGTGAATCGAACCTGCAACCTCATATCGTCTAGTTTGTAACCAACCGTTTATCACCCCTCGGCATGTTTCTTTCCTCTTGTCATGGTTTACAATCTAAACTACTCAAGTTTATACCTGACAATATAAAAACACGAACACATGAACACCCATTAGTTTTCGGTTCTGGCTATATTCGGATATGAGCGGATGTGCCATCGAACAATTACAGGAAAACAAATTAAACCACCAAGACGGAGCAATTTAAATTTCTCCCTCCATCGGCAACACGGATGAATATTGATGAATATTACGGACAATAGCAGGTCTCTACTAAACCTCATTTTCTTATTTCATGGATCAATTGATGTTGGTTTGTTGTTTTACGCCGCACTCAGCAATATTCCAGCTATATGACGGCGGTCTGTAAATGAGTCTGAACCAGACAATCCAGTGATTAATATCATGAGCATCGATCCACGCAATTGGGATCCATGACATGTATCAACAAGTCAGACAGCCTGACCACCCGATCCCGTTAGTCGCCTTTTACGGCAAGCATGGGTTGCTGAAGACCTATTCAGCCCCGGAACCTTCACGGGTAGACCAATTGATGACCCAATAGTATGTGTGAATACTTACCCAGGGTAACGGCCTTCAGGCGGACACTCTTGCCAGACTTCACCGAACCTGAAAGTTTCCTGCCAATGACGTCGACCAGGTACAGATGAATGACAGAGGGACTTTTCGGGGGCGTATTTCCATCGATCACCTTTGGAGCAGAAGCGCTGAAAAGAGCAAGGCCGGAACGTATGTCAATGGCACTTATTCAGAATCTTGAAGAGCCAAGTCAAAGACAAATAAAGCAAACTAAATGTAAACATATGCATGTACACACTTATGCGATTATAAGTGTGAGGCGTCGCAGCAAATGCAATGTAAGTAAATGGGGGTGGAGGCGGCTCTGTCTCTCTCTCGCGTGCGCGCACAGTGCGCGTGCGCGTGCGCGTGCGTGCTCAAACGGGTCTAATGATGGCGTCGCTTGAAATTTTTCACAAGCACACGTACGCGCACTAGTCGGGACTAGTGCCGAGTTTACAGTGCTGGTCCATCGATATACCATTCCGCAGTTTTACTCATGGATATTCCACTATACCGACTCCGAGCAACCCAGTCTTGTTTTTGCTCCTTGATGCCGAGCGCCATCTTATAACGCCGTACGGGATAGAACCCAGTACCTTCAGCTCTCTGGGCAGACTTACCCACTAGATCAAGACGTGGTCGTATTGACATGAAGTGGACGAGCTTAAATAATGCAGGCCAGATGTTTACTACTGAAACCTACGATCATTTCACGATCATGAATATCAGGACAAATCTTGGATTCTAACAATCAACACATTGCGGCCCGAATGAAACTGCACATGGAAGAGCGGCGCAATGGGGGAGTAGAGATACATTCTTATAATTGCTTATTGACGTTAAAAAACGAGTCTTGTGTGACGGGTTAAAAATCACTTCGACAATTTGGACCTTTCAAGGCATTGCCGTGGATTAGTATTCAGTGGGAATGGGGTGGGTTTTATTTAAAGGAAATGCTATATGTCAAGGAATGAGTGGTTTAAGATTCGTATTGCACTTCAAATATCAATTTAGCATCTAAGTTTCAAAACTAAAATGAGACCCCCACCCCCACCCCCACCCCCACCCAAAAGAAGAGGGAAGGGGGCTTCCATAAATTGCATATCCCTTCCAGAAACCTACCCTGGCTTGACCTTGAGGGACGAGCTCTGCTTGTTGGCGCCAGGCTGGAACGAGCACGTGACGGTGTATCGTTCGTCCGTCTGGTGAAGTCTGCTACCGGGACTGCCGAACGCCACAGTCACCAGGATTGTGTAAACAAATGAGTCCTTCTTTTTCTGAAAGTAAATACAGTATTACGAAAAACTAAAGAAAATGAATCGTCTTTTTCGAGGGGGTGGGTGGGGGCCTAGCCTCACCACCCGATTATTCCAGTTATATCACGGCGTGTCAGCTTGCTGGGTTCAGGCTACCATTGAGCGTCCTGGCCAGTTTTTGATAAGGTCGCAGCCCTGTGTAAAGGGGGCTTAACGTCTTTCGGAGTGACGCGCCGGGGAAATCGCTCTAGCGGCAGGCGTACTGGTTTATTGTTGGTTGGTTTTACGCCGCACTCAGCAATATTCCAGCTATATGACGGGGGTCTGTAAATAATCGAGTCTGTACCAGACAATCCAGCGATTAATATCATGAGCATCGATCCACGCAATAGGGATCGATGACATGCTTCAACCAAGTCAGCGAGACTGACCACCCGATCCCGTTAGTCGCCTTGCCTCTTACGGCAAGCATGGGTTGCTGAAGACCCATTCTACTCCGGATCTTCATGGGCAGATAAGCGTACTTTGAAACCACGAGGTACAACATGCAAAATTTCGACATACAGCTGTGGGTATCTCGCGACGATGAAGTATGTGGCAATTTAGAAAAAAATATTTTAATGACACGACGGCTCTGGTCTTACAGCATGCAAGGTCACGTGAATAGTTTCGGGCAGATTAATGTGCCAGGTCCAATCATGGCCTGCTTGCGTTGAAAAGTGTTTCTAAAATGCTTTTAATTTGAACTTTTGAACAAACGTTAATACACTTTCAATTTGAAACAAGTATTGTCAATGATTAGGAAAGGTGAAATCAAATTCATGTGGACGGTATCGTTCCACATGAAATGGTCCTTAACGGTAGAATCATACTAATATACCAACCACAAATTTACAGGCGGATGATCCGCCGCCAGTGACTGGGTAGGACACAGGTAAAGTGAAGAACACTCCATCAGCAGAACTGAAGCTCACTTCCTTGTTGCCGCCACAAACCGCTTTTGCCTCGGCATCGTAGTCGGTCAGTAGACTCACCGTGGAGTCAGCAATACCGTTTGCTCCACAATCCGCTTGAACTGAAATCACAAGGCAGCATACAGTTTAACGCCACTAGTTTCTTTAAACCAATTCTAACCTAGATTAAAGATTCATGACCATGGAGGAATTATTTAAGGTAAATACTGGAAATCGCTTTTTCGCAATCATTTCAGAGAATATCACGATTAAAAAACAAACAAAAAAAACAAGTACACTATTTCTGAATTGTATCATTGTGCGACCCGACCTATTGGTGCAAACAGACCAACTAATTGGTCGAAGTGGCAATTTATTAAATTTCAAAGCCACTTTAAAGAATGCTAAAAATAAAGCTACATGTCAATGTATCATTCGAATTTTATTCTCATCTTGGACGTATACAACCCAAGCTGTCTTATCGAGGTACTAGGCCAACATATCCTCATCCCATTTGATATGAACACCACTAGTCAGCGGATCATGGTACGGCCAATATTACAACAGCATTTAAGGCATTTGTCAAAGATCTGTTAACGCCGCACTCGGCAATATTCCAGCTTTATGACGCAGGTCTGTAAATAAGTCTGGACCAGACAATCCAGTGATCGATACGAGCATCGATCCACGCAGTTGAGATCGAAGACGTGCATCAACCAAGTCAGCGAGCCTGACCACCCGATCCCGTTAGTCGCCTCTTACGACAAGCATTTGTCAGATATGCATAGAGAGTTCACAAAGAACTACATTTATGTGGTAAGAAAAATGGTAATATTACTTACTATCCAATATATACCCTGGAGGTACAACAGCCTGGACGGTAGCCTGGAGACATGTACAACAAAACCCCATTAAAATGGACACGAAAGAGCCTCGTAAAGAGCAATAGAAAACTTCCAGGAATTACTTTGTACAGGTAAGAGTAAGCGATGATGTTACAGATGTTACAAATGCGTTATATGCAATGGGTACTAGATGAAATTATCTACTAAACGGCAAAAGAAAAGCGAATACAATCCATGTTGGTTAAAATATGAAGAATTACTTAAAAGATATTCGATTGTTCAATTCACACGAACATTATGTTGTGTGAACCAATGCTTCTGAACGCATCACATGTGACGTCATAGACTCCAGACGCATCATTTGTCTCGTGCAGGAGTAGTGTGGAAAGTTTGGCAATCACGTGCAGCATATCGTGATAATAAAGACTGCACGTGGTAACACTTGACCGACCGTTTTGCCATTAAGTGGTACACATTGGAAACATCTCTTAACGAACATACTTCTGTTTCTATGGTTCGTGTTTTTGGCGGCGAATATGTAGAAGAATTCAGTCAGTTTATGACTAGTTACCTCGAGCAACACTTCCACTTCACATGGTTTCATCAGCAAACGAGTTTGTAAACGCCGCACTCAGCAATACGCCATCTTTATGACGCCGGTCTGTTCTCACCAGCATCGATCCACGCAATGAGGATAGTGTAACTTTGACGTGCATCAACAAAGTTAGCGAGCATGACCACCCGACCCTGTTAGTCGCCTCGTACTTCGAGCATGTACCCGTGAGGATCCGGGGGGGGGGGGGGGGGGGGGAGAATAGGTCTTCAGCAACCCATGCTTGTCGTAAGAGGAGACTAACGGGATAGGGTGGTCAGGCTCGCCGACTTGGGTCAATGCATATCATACATGTATACCAATAGCATTGATCGATGTTCATATGAATCACTGGATTGTCTGCTCCAGACAATTTACAGACCGCAGACATAGCTGGAACATTGCCGAGTGCGGCGTTAAACAAAAAAACTTCAATCATGGACAAAAGTGAGTGAATGATGGGGGGTTTTCGTCGCAGACAGCAATGTTCAAGCTTTATTACCCACGTAGTGAATATACAGTTGGCAAGATACTACATACGTACGTCCTTTGTGTTGTAGAAGGTTGACCTCGTTTTATTCGGAGAACCGCGACTAATTTTTCATGAAAAAATAAATTTGCGTGATTTCATTTTGCAACTACAAGGCAGAACTGAAGCAATCGATAGATCTATAGATCGAGGGTCCCCCTGAGCGCGGCGCACCCGACCACTTTCGCAACTTTCAATTTGATTTAACGTAAAAAGGATAGGAGTGGTGAAATGAACGTCTAATTTAGCTCTTCTAAAAAAATGGTACGGACAGGATATTAATTCAGCTGATATCAAAACCGGACCATTTTGATTGCACAGGTAAAGCAGGTCGGCAGCACGCGCTACGACGTCGGCGTATAACGAAGACTGTCACACATAGCAAGGAACGTACGTACTTGGGGCCCGCTGTTATACTTACAATGAAGCCAAGAATAGCTAAAATAGCTGCCATTTTTCACCTTTCGGCTGAAAAAGAATATTCGATGCTAAAAGCCTTCATTACATGAATTCATTACTAGAACAACTGGTATTAAACTCACATAAAAGTTGGTATTCACAAATATAACCCGGCTCCTTTTACACCTAAGTGAACACTTACCAGAACGAATACAGCTCAAACTCGGTCCGCCTGTCGAGTGTCGTCGACGAGCCCTTATATACCTCATATGACACCACGCGCACGTGCTGCACGGTGTTGTATTTTGGCGACTGAAACACACTCTTTGTTATCTCGTTAACGTATTATTTGAGGGACCGGTCATTTATAACATGAGTGGGAGAGTTTTTTGATGCCTTAATGGACTGAAAATAATGACCCTTCCATAATGCTTGTCATATTCTGTCATATTTTTTTCTACACTCCCCTATTCCCTCTAACACACCCACCCTGCCCGTTTCATAAATGACCGCTTCCTAAATGGGTATCTTGAGGATGTTCTGTTGTTCTGCTGACCTGTGACAAACACGGGTGCGTGTTGGCGCATTGTTGATTCATAAAACCGTTCTTCTTCAAGAGTAAACCTTTTTATGTGGGATGAACGAAGTGCGGTGACGTATTTGGGTGCGTTTTGGCGAATATTTTCATCAGTATTTGGTATGGAATTGTATGATAATATTTCTAGTTTCTCTGCTTGATGCTAAGCTAGCTGTCGCTAAGGTTTCTAGTGTTGGTGAATGTCCCTATTAAATGGAAATGAAATTAGTGTTGCAATCAGATGAGATACTTAAACTCAGGAAATGAGCCTCACACGTTCACCCCAAATTGAGAATTGAACCCCAAGGCCGTAGTTAACTTTTTTTTGACAGGGGGGCCAAATATTTGTACAAGTATCACTTGTCCCTAACTTGATTCAAATAAAACTGTTTCTATGAAAAATCAAGGGCCCCGGCTGGCTACGGCTATGAACCCGTTCCTTCGGCGTGACGACGAACGCTTATACCAATGCTCATGCTTAAAGCACATGTGTGACAGCGGTCTCCAAATAACCGAATAATTCACGTCACGAGGCCAAGGCCTATCACGAGTGTCGACCTTAGCAATTGGGATCCGATGACATGCATCAACCATCAACCCGATCCCGTTAGTTGCATCTTTCGACAAATTGAGTTGTTGAAGAGCATTTTTCGCTTGGTTGTTTGTTGTTTAACACAGCACTCAGCCATATTCCAGCTATATGACGGCGGTCTGTAAATAATCGAGTCTGGACCAGACAATCCAATGATCGACCTCATGAGCATCGATCCACACAATTGGGATACGATGACATACATCAACCAAGTCAGCGAGCCTGACCAACCGATCCCGTCTGTCGCCTCTTACAAGCACAATCGCCTTTTACGGCAAGCATGGGTTGCTGAAGAAGCAGTTCTAAACCGTATCTTCACGAGGGCTGAAAGGGGTAGATGTTAGTTCAGTCAGTAATGAAGTGTGTGGGTGAGCCACTTCGCGAGTATTCCAACCTTATGTTTTGACCACACCATGTCTGACACCGACTCCCACTACACCATCCAACCCAACACCACCTCCCACTACACAATCTAACTCTCAAACTCTTCCCACTACACCATCTAACACTACACCGCCACCCACTACACCACCTCCCACTACACCACCTCCCACTACACCATCTCCCACTACACCACCTCCAACTACACCACCTCCCACTACACCGCCACCCACTACACCACCACCCACTACACCGTCCCCCACTACATCATCTAACACTACACCACCCCCACTACACCACCTCCCACTGCACCATCTCCCACTACACCACCTCCCACTACACCACCTCTCACTACGCCATCTAACACTACACCACCTCCCACTACACCATCTAACACTACACCACCTACCACTACATCATCTCCCACTACACCAACTCCCACTACGCCATCTAACACTACACCACCTCCCACTACGCCATCTAACATTACACCACCTACCACTACATCATCTAACACTACACCAACTCCAAATGCACCACCTCCCACTACATTACCTCCCACTACACCACCTCCCACTACACCATCTAACACTACACCGCCACCCACTACACAATCTAACACTACACCGCCACCCACTACACCACCTCCCACTACACCACCTCCCACTACACCACCCCCCACTACACCACCTCCCACTACACCACCTCCCACTACACCACCTCCCACTACACCACCCCCCACTACACTATCTAACACTACACCGCCACCCACTACACCGCCACCCACTACACTGCCTCCCACTACACCACCTCCCACTACACCATCTAACACTACACCGCCACCCACTACACCACCTCCCACTACATCATCTAACACTACACCAACTCCAAATGCACCACCTCCCACTACATTACATCCCACTACACCATCTCCCACTGCACCATCTCCCACTACACCACCTCTCACTACGCCATCTAACACTACACCACCTCCCACTACACCATCTAACACTACACCACCTACCACTACACCACCTCCCACTACACCACCTCCCACTACACCATCTAACACTACACCGCCACCCACTACACCACCTCCCACTACATCATCTAACACTACACCAACTCCAAATGCACCACCTCCCACTACATTACATCCCACTACACCATCTCCCACTGCACCATCCCCCACTACACCATCTCCCACTACACCACCTCCCACTACACCAACTCCAAATGCACCACCTCCCACTACATTACATCCCACTACACCATCTCCCACTGCACCACCTCCCACTACACCACCTCCCACTACACCACCCCCCACTACACCACCCCCCACTACACCATCTCCCACTACACCACCTCCCACTACACCATCTCCCACTGCACCATCTCCCACTACACCACCTCCCACTACACCACCTCTCACTACGCCATCTAACACTACACCACCTCCCACTACACCATCTAACACTACACCACCTACCACTACATCATCTCCCACTACACCAACTCCCACTACGCCATCTAACACTACACCACCTCCCACTACACCACCCCCCACTACACCATCTCCCACTACACCACCTCCCACTACACCACCTCCCACTACACCACCTCCCACTACACCATCTAACACTACACCACCTCTCACTACACCATCTCCCACTACACCATCTCCCACTACACCACCTCCCACTACACCACCTCCCACTACACCACCTCCCACTACACCATCTAACACTACACCACCTCCCACTACACCACCTCCCACTACACCATCTCCCACTACACCATCTCCCACTACACCACCTCCCACTACACCATCTAACACTACACCACCCCCCACTACACCATCTAACACTACACCATCTCCCACTACACCACCTCCCACTACACCACCCCCCACTACACCATCTAACACTACACCACCCCCCACTACACCATCTAACACTACACCATCTCCCACTACACCACCTCCCACTACACCACCCCCCACTACACCACCTCCCACTACACCACCCCCCACTACACCATCTAACACTACACCATCTAACACTACACCATCTCCCACTACACCATCTAACACTACACCATCTCCCACTACACCACCTCCCACTACACCACCCCCCACTACACCATCTAACACTACACCAGCTCCCACTACACCATCTAACACTACACCATCTAACACTACACCACCCCCCACTACACCATCTAACACTACACCATCTCCCACTACACCACCTCCCACTACACCGACCCCCACTACACCATCTAACACTACACCACCCCCCACTACACCATCTAACACTACACCATCTCCCACTACACCACCTCCCACTACACCACCCCCCACTACACCACCTCCCACTACACCACCCCCCACTACACCATCTAACACTACACCATCTAACACTACACCATCTCCCACTACACCATCTCCCACTACACCATCTCCCACTACACCATCTCCCACTACACCATCTCCCACTACACCATCTAACACTACACCATCTCCCACTACACCATCTCCCACTACACCATCTAACACTACACCATCTCCCACTACGCCATCTAACACTACACCACCTCCCACTACATCATCTCCCACTACACCATCTAACACTACACCACCTCCCACTACACCATCTAACACTACACCATCTCCCACTACACCACCTCCCACTACACCACCCCCCACTACACTATCTAACACTACACCACCCCCCACTACACCATCTAACACTACACCACCTCCCACTACACCACCCCCCCACTACACCATCTAACACTACACCATCTCCCACTACACCATCTAACACTACACCATCTCCCAATACACCATCTCCCACTGCACCATCTCCCACTACACCACCTCCCACTACACCACCCCCCACTACACCATCTAACACTACACCATCTCCCACTACACCATCTAACACTACACCATCTCCCACTACACCATCTCCCACTGCACCATCTCCCACTACACCATCTAACACTACACCACCTCCAACTACACCACCTCCCACTACACCATCTAACACTACACCATCTAACACTACACCACCTCCCACTACCCCATCTAACACTACGCCATCTCCCACTACACCACCTCCCACTACACCATCTAACACTACACCACCTCCCACTACACCATCTAACACTACACCATCTCCCACTACACCATCTAACACTACACCACCTCCCACTACACCACCTCCCATTACACCACCCCCCACTACACCACCTCCCACTACACCACCTCCCACTACACCACCTCCCACTACACTACCTCCCACTACGCCATCTAACACTACACCGCAACCCACTACACCATCTAACACTACACCACCTCCCTCTACACCATCCACCACTACACCACCTCCCACTACACCATCTAACACTACACCGCCATCCACTACACTATGTAACACTACACTACCTCCCACTACGCCATCTCACACTACACTAACTCCCACTACACCATTCAACGCTGCACCACCTCCCAGTACACCATCCAACACTCCACTTCTTGCCACTACACCATCCAACACTACACCACCTCCCTCTACACCATCTAACACTACACCACCTCCCTCTACACCATCTAACACTACACCAACTCCCTCTACACCATCTAACACTACACTGCCTCTCACTACACCATCTAACACTACACCACCTACCACTACATCATCTAACACTACACCAACTCCCACTGCACCATATCCCACTACATTACCTCCCACTACGCCATCTAACACTACACTGCCTCTCACAACGCCATCTAACACTACACTACCTCTCACTACACCATCTAACACTACACCACCTCCCTCTACATCATCTAACACTACACCACCTCCCACTACACCATCTAACACTACACAACCTCCCACTACACCATCCAGCACTACACTTCTTGCCACTACACCGTCCAACACTACACTGCCTCTCACTACATCATCTAACACTACACCGCCACCCACTACGCCATCTAACACTACACTGTCTCCCACTACATCATCTAACACTACACCGCTACCCACTACGCCATCTAACACGACACTGCCTCCCACTACACCACCTCCCACTACACTGTCTCCCACTACATAATCTAACACTACACCGCTACCCACTACGCCATCTAACACTACACTGCCTCCCACTACATCATCTAACACTACACTGTCTCTCACTACATCATCTAACACTACACCGCCACCCACTACGCCATCTAACACTACACCGCCACCCACTACGCCATCTAACACTACACTGCCTCCCACTACATCATCTAACACTACACTGTCTCTCACTACGCCATCTAACACTACACTGTCTCCCACTACATCATCTAACACTACACCGCCACCCACTACGCCATCTAACACTACACTGCCTCCCACTACATCATCTAACACTACACTGTCTCTCACTACATCATCTAACACTACACTGTCTCTCACTACGCCATCTAACACTACACTGTCTCCCACTACATCATCTAACACTACACCGCCACCCACTACGCCATCTAACACTACACTGCCTCCCACTACATCATCTAACACTACACTGTCTCTCACTACGCCATCTAACACTACACTACATCCAACTACACCATTCAACGCTGCATCACCTCCCAGTACACCATCCAACACTCCACTTCTTGCCACTACACCATCCAACACGACACTGCCTCCCACTACATCATCTAACACTACACCACCTCCCACTACACCATCTTCCAATACCTCTAGACAGACAACACGTTAACGTGCCAGGAGCGTTTCATCGTGAGTTCGCCCTGATTATGGTTCTAAGTTTTGTGAGCTGTGGAAAACGTCTGGAACCTCCATTATTTCGGGCTTTCCTAGCCAACAAGCCAACACGTCGTGACATTACTGAAATAGTGCTGAGAATATCGATAAACAAATTGTCAAAAGTAACGTTGTTTGATATGTGAATGTGGACAGGTCGAGTTAAGTATATAAAAGAACTACGATATACTTCACACATAACATTCCAATTTAGATACATTAATTCAAGTGACTGTAACATTGTGAGGTCACGATTATGTGATTTTTTTATAACTGTTTCAGCATCAATGTTCCTCGCTATCGTCGTGCTGGCAGCTTTGATGGTTCTTCCCCCGGCGTTATCAAACGTAAAACTTTTGATATTTACATACATATAGGTCGAGTAATTAGATATCCAACAAGGACTTTGACCATGCCTCACAGCTTTGACCAGAAGGGACATCCTTCCTATGCTTTAATTGTAGTCTGTCGTATGCAGTGCATATATGAGTTTGCAAAACTGTTTCAGCAACAATGTTCCTGGCTATCGTCGTGCTGGCAGCTCTGATGGTTCTTCCCCAAGTGGAAGGTGGTTGCTGGGAGACCTGGAGCAGATACACTGGCTGGAGTTCCTGGGGTACTGGGAGACTTTGGAAGTCCTGCAGCGACCGTTCTAAAGAGCTTTGCAAATTCGGGGGAAGGTGTGTTCTGAAGGATGCCTCTGACTGCTGGGTGACAGACCAGGCCGGTCAATATGTTTGCAACCGTCGGACGTAAAACCAATCCGGTTTGCTATGGACGAGAATATCCAAATGTAACTATTCCATGCAACTGAAGAGAGGGTATACCCTTGTCTAATGTCCCTTTATTCCGTCTTACATATAGATATAACGTATGTTAGGCCGTCAACACTTCTGTTATTTGAAGCATGAAATGGTAATAAAAAACGAACATTTGTCTGAGCCATGTGTGAATTCGTATGTGCACATTATTGTCATAAACTGTATTCTATGCGCACACGGCGTCCACGTTCACCAAGTTGATGTTCAATAAAAACACAACCTAGAAGCCCCTACTTCTAACATAATCCATTGACACACGAGCTGCGTGTGGGTGGATGGGAGTCAGTGTCTGAAACTCAGCAGAGTAAACTGAGAGCCTTAAGGGCCAGCACATTTCAAAAACTGTAGGCCAAGTGGAAAAACTGTAGGCCCAAACAAGGAGGCATACTCTTGCATTATAAATTACAAAACAACCAGTCAACCAGAAGCGTTTGCTGCTATCACAGCAAGTTCCCAGAGATTGTGTGGTGATAGGTGATGCCTACATATAAAGGATTTCGAAATTTTCAGCTTGTAACACATCTTTGCTACTACATGTCATATACTATTTGAAAGGTTAATCCTACTGTTTACATATACTGACAGTTATTTTTATCACATTATTTTTAAAATGCATTTATAACGAAATTAAGTTCGTTTTTAATAAAAACAAATAAGCTAACACATTCATAACGTCCACATTAAGCATCAAGGAAGCTAAAATTATAACGATTTTCGGCAATTTTAACATTTCATAATAGAGATGACCTTTAACTTATTTCTATTTTTATTTTCATTGTTAAAGTACTCGGAAAATGATGAAAAAAAATTCTTTTAAGTACGATCTATCCCTACATATTTCCCGGCAGTAGTGGCTTTAGGCTCAGTCACATGAAGAAATACCGGGAAATATACTCGTCAAAACAATTTAGGGAACACTGATATTTTGTAGCACTGTTCATTCGATTCCTTTTAAATTTGGTAAATGGCCTCCTGATCGGCGGCTAACGTACTGATATTGAAGACTACCCTTACTCAAGTGACTTTATGACCAGAACAAAGAATTTGAATCATACTGGACTCGTCAACGTTCATTTTGACCAGCACTCATTTTCATGGAAATTTTTGTTGTAATCTCCTCCTCACAGCTGCCGTAAAAATGGAGATCGTGCATTTGCTCACTTATTCTCATGAAGCACGAGCCACAAGGAATTTTTGTGCGAAATTTGGGTTGATAAAGGCAGGTCGCTATGAAACTGCATCACTGTTCAACATGCCACAACGTCGACACCTCACGATTGAAGAAGGAGCCAGAGCAATTGGGTGGCTAAATGAGAATGTTTCACAGCGGGAAGCTGCTCGAAGGCTAAATGTTAGTCCATCCGTCATTTGCAGATTACGTCAGCGATTCCAACAAACACAGACAGTACGTGATAGACGAAGGTCAGGACGCCCTCGTGTGACAACAGGAAGAGAAGACCGGTACGTCGTTGCTGAAGCATTGAGGAGGAGAACAGTCACAGCAAACCATCTTCGAAGGCAACTGAGGGCTGCTACAGGGACAAATGTCAGTGACCAAACCATAAGAAACCGTATGAGGGAAAGAAACATCAGGCCCCGACGTCAAGCCGTTAGACAGCTTCTTCTTCCGCGTCACAGAGCAGCCAGAGATGCATGGGCACGCCAACACCGACAGTGGACAAGACAACAGTGGTCAGCAGTTCTATTTTCTGACGAATCTCGGTTCTCTCCGTGAGCACAATCATTTTGGTGGTGGTAGTGTCATGGTGTGGGCCGCCTTCTCATTTCATCACAGAACCAATCTGTACGTCATCAACGGGCAAATACGCATTTTCTGACTTTGTGAAAAGGGACAGATTTAATAAATGAGTGAGTGAGTTGGGTTTAACGCCGATTTTAACAGTATTCCAGTTACATCGCGGCGTGTCAGCTTAAAGTGGAAGGAAAGCCCAAAATGATGCAGGTCTCAGACGTTTACCACTTGAAACGTCGTGAACCCACGAGCACGGGTATAGTGCTGACAAACCTAGAAACATAGTCGGGGCGAACGGGGATTCGAACCCACAAGCATAGGTTTCTGACGTGCCCAAGGGACGCAACTCTGCACAGCGAATCGTGGCGCCTTAGACGACTGGGCCACCCGTGCCCCAAATAAATTAATGACAGGTAGGTTCATGAAACTATTATTATCCGGTGTTGAAAGAGTTAGCGAGCTCAATATTCTGAAGCCGGGCCCGTTTCTCAGTGTTATGATTCAATACCATGTTTACCATGTTTACCATGTTTACCCGGGAGTGCCAAATTTGATATTTAGGAGGGAAAATCCTCTTGGCGTTCCCGGGACCAGTAAGGATTCAGACACGGTTCACTGATCGGGATTTTAGCACTCCTGGTACCAGGCAAATATAACAAGAACAAAGATGTGCCGCTCATTAATTTCATTACCGTATTTATGCATTAAAGTATATGACTGTTTAAAATGAACATATTGATATTTATGTTCGTTCCCTGTTAAGAAGTTCCGATAAGTTTAATTAATGCACTTTAAATTAAAATGCATAAAAAATCAAAATGTACATATTCATAATAATCCATTAATGTGCCATCAAAGAATCCATTGAATTATGACTTCGGCTTTGTTTAATGTTCAATCCAGGTGGAGAAGTTCCGACAGAGGATCTGCAAAGTCAATGTCGGGCAGATGGTGGTTGACGAGGTCGTCATCAATGATCTGAGGCGGGCGTCGATAACGTCGCTTAAAGGGAGGTGCATTATTGCAATTCGGCTTATGAAAGCTTTTCGGTATCTTTGATCTTCTAAAACAAGCGCTTTATCTGTAAAACATCCGTGAGTAGACACATTGCAACTGTAAACACAGTCAATAACTCTTTAATAGTTTTGATCTTCTGAAGCTTTATTTGTAAACACAACAACATCGTCAGCAGACTCACTAGCTACAACTGTAAACACAGTCAATCACTCTGAATAACTCGTTTATATACTGGCCAAAAAAAGAAACGCATAGCTGAAATCTGTTTTTCAAACTTGACTGTTATTAAAGATGAAGGCTTGAACTCAATATAAATGTCATTGCTAACTGTGAATATTGACCTTACACTAATTTATTGCACCCGAACACAACATTTGGTGACTTGTCGCCAAAATACAGCATCTTGAAACCAAACTGGGAGAAATTGCATGGAGAAAAAGCTGTAAGCATGCTACACGTGCAAATACGGCTACTTAACCTTTAACCGATAAAAATTTGGCAATCCTGCTGCGAATCACTCTCTGTATCTGTTGTGTATACGTGACTCTCATGATGCCAAGACTGAATGAAGACTGTAGAAACAGAGCCATTGGACGTCTGGAAGCTGGAGAAAGTCCGACATCAGTAGCCAGGCACTTTAACGTGAGGCAGAGTACCATTTCTCGTCTGTGGCAGCGCTACAGACTCCACAACTCTACAAGAGATCGACCGAGAAGTGGAAGACCCAGGGTCACAACTGCGGCGCCGGACCGCTTCATCCTGGTGTTGCATCTTCGCAACCGGACAATCAGTGCAGCATACACAGCTAACAATGTTCCTGGTCTTCGTAGAGTCTTAGAGCAAACCATCAGAAATCGTCTAAGACAGCATGGGAAACGGCCAATGAGAACATATACAGCGCCCGTTCTGCGGCAACATTATCGTGGTGCACGTCTGCAATGGAGCAGAAATGTTCGACTATGGACTCTAGTGCACCGGAGAAGGATATGGTTCAGTGGTGAGTCGCGGTTCATGCTGTATCGCCATGATGGTAGGATGCGTGTCTACAGACGGAGAAATGAACGCTACACTCGAAACTGTATTCATGAAGTCGACCGATACGGCGGTTGAAGTGTCATGATGTGGGCAGGCATATTCGTGAATGGTAGGACAGATCTGATCCACGTGCAGGGAAATTGAACTGCTGTACGCTACCGGGATGAAATCCTTCAACGTCACCTTTTTCCCGCCATTGACGTCTACAGAGAGATTTTCCAGCAAGACAACGCAAGACCGCATACTGCACGTGTTACCATGGATTATCTTGCCCACAACAATGTTACTGTGCTGCCATGGCCCTCCAAATCGCCTGATCTAAACCCCATTGAACATTTGTGGGATCTGCTAGACAGACGTGTACGACGCCGACAGCCTCAACCACAGACGCTTCAACAGCTGAACCATGCATTGCAGGATGAGTGGAGAAGGATTCCACAACGCCAGATTCGACGACTCATACAGTCCATGCCCAGGCGGTGCAGAGCTGTGATCGATGCTCGTGGTGGTAACACCCGGTACTGACTTTGGCACAGTGCAATCACAGACATCGACTTCCCTTAGAACATTAAAAGACTGTTTGTAGTGTAAGAAACATGTGCCTCATCCTGTGTAAAATTTGGTTATTGTATCTTCATTATTTATTGTGTAATCCTATTTCATTAAACATGTAATGAAACACTGATTATTCTGTTATGCGTTTCTTTTTTTGGCCAGTGTATCTACTAATATTTTTTCTGAAAAATTATATCACTATTTGTACCTCAAAGGACGTAGACCTTGATCTGTACACCATTATATTTAGTACGTGTGACTTCATGTTCACACAGACATACAACAACCAGCTGTATCGCGGAATAAAATCGTTCCTCAAAACGGGAGGTGAGCTTATGTAGGCTCAACATGCTCAACGGGGACAACTTTTGTAGTTTCTGTCAACATAATGTACCCGCGGTAGACTGGACACAGTTATTTGCTCACCGATTAGATAACCCCTACCTACAGGGTGGGGATGGTGGTTCAAAGCGAA